GGGGGGTAGGGGGGGAATTAGGAATCGTACGTACAGCGTCTTTATTGAGAGCCCAGAAAAGGAAGCCTTCCCTCGTCGATAGCATGATTTGAGCATTAATACCGGCTAACTCGAAATTTACACAAAAGTGTCATTTTGTTTTGCAGAATTCTGCGCATACGCCTACTGATCCTTGGTCTGATCCCATTGGCTAGATATGCAACAAGCTACCCCCACACACACCCCCACACGTAGAATTTCACATTTTTGATAGCACTTGTAATTGCTGTGATGTTAAATCTTGGCACAATGACTACCCACATCGACATTGTCTTTAATTATTATTTACCACACTGGTGAGCATACTCACGGGTATGAGCGAGTGAAGTTAGTTTCCAATTTTATGACGTCATGCCTAAGTACAATCTAAACTACTCCACCATCTACCAATCGGATCTTCTTTGCAATATTAAGGGAGGGAAATACGTTTTATTAGCCTTTACATAAACCATTATTAAAGTGAAGGGCACTGTAGACCTTGTTGAAGGAATATCTGTGTCTAGACAGGTAGACATTTCAGTAAATACCTTTTTAGGAATAAAGGCTATTTTTTTCAAGGAAAGCGCTATTTCTCTGAGTAATGAACGATATGCTGTATTTATTTCCTAAGACAAATGAAAGAAAGTAAGTTCTATTACGAAGTAATAGGAAATCGACACCGGTTGAAAGTCACGGAAACACGATTTAGTCTCGGGGATGAATGATTTATTGTAGGCGTTCCCTACTTGGCGCTTTCAGCTCCTAGCAACTTGTTAATTGAACTGGGAGGAAAGATAGGTCTTCGATCCGATAACAGCTAGATCTTAAATATTCGATCCTGTTGGAGTTTATTAGAGAAAAAATATGATACACAGCTTAATGGAATACGAGAGTTTGGAAGGAAATGGAAATAGAGAAGGCCCCAATTCACCCTTATTTTCGAAATCATCGGTGAGACATTGGATCTCTGTTGTCTCTCCCTCCAGTTTGAGCACGTCTTAATGAAGCAGATCAATATTTGATAATTGAATAAAACAACCATCATAATCACTTGGTGAGACTAAAAGCATAGATTGTTCTTTTTTTCGTTACAGTGGCCTCCACTTCCTATAGAAAGGAGACTAAAGTCCTTCCAACATTTTTTTCCCATAATGGTGGTCTCTTTTCATATTTTTTTTGCCGTCAAGCAGCTTGAGGATTGAAGTTAAGAAGAAACGGGTTTATTTTTAGTTTTCGGGCATGAAAGGTGACGTGATCATGAATGAAGGCATCAGAATCGGAGAAAAGAAGGCGATGGAAATCGGGCAGAAGATGGTGCGTAATTAGGCCATCGTTGAGTCTTGTTTGAATTTTGAATCAATTTATTTATCATTTCTGGGGTGTGCGATAGACTTACCTCCACGTGGTGCACCCTGGGCAACGTATACTCATTCGGCCAAAAAGTCTATAAACCGGCAGTTGACTCCTGACTTCAAACTCTCATGGCCTACCGCAAGTCATATTCGATCCCTTCCATAGTACTCACCTTTACTTGTTCTCTACCTTTGTGTCTGTCTATCTCTTTTACATCTGTGAATCGCTCTTCTGTTCCCCACCCCTCGACTTTCTGCTACTTTGATGAACCTTCCCTCTGTGAAGCCCGAAGTCAGCTAAATGGCTAATGATAGTTATCAAAACGCCTGCCATTTGAAATAAATAAAAATAAATTTATCATTTCTCACAAATTGAATACGTCCCAAGTGCTATCAAATTCGAATTTAAATGGCTGTCTTTGGTTATCTTGCTAACTGCCCATTCAGAGTAAAGTTGACACATTTCTCTTTGAAGGCTTAACTAGGCAGATTGTGCTATCTAATATGTCGTAACAAATCCAACCAGAATGTGACAAGTTCTATCCTTACTGATCTTTTATGCACTCTGGTCCACTGAAGATTGATAATTTTTCCACATTTACCCTTATTAAAATTACAACTAATCTACCCGATGTCATATATCTATACATATGATGAATATAATAATTAATTGAAATATATCTTCAACCTGCTTTGTGACGATATAGAAGCAAGCTAGATGTAAAATCTGTGGTTTAAATGGGTATCTATCATACTGGTCCTTAAAGTCAATTCAAGGAAAAATGTGAGGACACAAAGACCTATAAGAGCTGAAGATGGAAAGAGAGTAACAAGAATAAGAGAAATCAGCTGACATACCACAAAGGGATTGGGGTAAAATATCTCAAGGGGTGAAGTTTGGGAGAAGGGGGGGGGGAGGGCAGGATTGGTATCTTGTACCACGATAGGGAGAAGGCTGCGAAATCGCTAATATGTTTAAGGCGGTTCTATAGTCGCTCGACTATCTTCATTCCAATTCCATTATTTGGGGGATGTTGTCAATGCTCTCCGAATTGCCGCACTATTTTGTGATCCAGGTTTATACAACTATATTAGTTTAAGTAAAAAAATAAACTTTAGTGGAGATAATTTATTTGAAAAGCCATTTTCTAATCGAGTACATAAGCTATGAGCTAAATATAGCTTAAAGTTACTCACCCCATGAAAACTACCTTTAAATATTGACCGATTACGTCAAATCACTTGCATAGATACGCGATTACGGAGCGGCTGAAAAAACCTAATTGTAATCATACTCAAAGACTCACCTCATAGTGGAACTTAAAAATTTCAAGAGACTTGGAACATGCTGAAGAATCGTTTCACCTTGCTGTTATAATAGATTTCCTCTCCTATTGACCCCAATCACCAATGAAGTAACTAAAAAACAACGGCAATATGGCCTAAATGGAGAGAAAGTTGAGATGAAAATACAAAATGTGAAGATACAAATACTTCATTTACAATTAACGATTTCAAGCATGTAGAACTTCCTCCATATTTCTTAGGAGATGTGGAATATTTTCTAGGTGTTCTAATGCTTAGACCTAATCTGGTCTAATACAGAAAACCATATAACTGAAGAAAAAATTACAAATCAATGATAAACCAAAAAGCCTCTCTCTACCCATGAACGCATTAGCAGACACTGATGTAGTGCGTTGCACCCAACTGCTGTCTTCAGGAAATCAAACACTCCTCCAGAGCAAATGCGCTCCCCTCATTAAATTTAACACCCCTCCAGAGCAAATGCGCTCACTGGCCAAGAATCGAAGCCGTTTATGAGTTTAGACTACGTACCGGACATGATTGCTTGGCAAAACATCTTCACAGATTGGGAGTATACACTGGCGAAGCACCTTCACAGATTAGGAGTATACAATCAAAACACCTTCACAGATTGAGAGTATACACTCAACCCACATATACTCTATGTAACCTACAGGAGGAAATGGAGAAGTCCCACCTGTCTATGTGACCTACAGGAGGAAACGGAGAAGACCCACCATATGTAACCTACATGAGGAAATGGAGAAGACCCATCTGATCTGTAACCTACAGGAGGAAATGGAGAAGACCCACCTGATGTGAAACCTACAGGAGGAAATGGAGAAGACCCATCTGATTCTCTACAGGAGAAAATGGAGAAGACCCACCTGATTCGGTGTTCACCAGAGGAGGAAATGGAGAAGACCCACCTGATTCGATGTCCAGCCCTAAAGACAAGTACGGAAAGCCAAAGATACTGGTATACAGGAGGAAATGGAGAAGACCCACCTGATTCGGTGTTCAAAGGAGGAAATGGAGAAGACCCACCTGATTCGGTGTCTAGCGATCAACCCACATGCCCTCTATGTAACCTACAGGAGGAAATCTGGCGAAGCACCTTCACAGATTAGGAGTATACAATCAAAACACCTTCACAGATTGAGAGTATACACTCAACCCACATACTCTATGTAACCTACAGGAGGAAATGGAGAAGTCCCACCTGTCTATGTGACCTACAGGAGGAAACGGAGAAGACCCACCATATGTAACCTACATGAGGAAATGGAGAAGACCCATCTGATCTGTAACCTACAGGAGGAAATGGAGAAGACCCACCTGATTCATGTCCAGCCCTAAAGACAACGACGGAAAGCCAGAGATCCATGTCCAGCCCTAAAGACAACGACGGAAAGACAGAGATACTGGGATCCAGCGAGACAACGCGGAAAGCCAAAGATACTGGGAAGCAAGAAGACAGCTACTCCGGAAAGCCAGAGATACTGGGAAGCAAGAAGACAGCTACTATAGACCCACCTGATTCGGTGTCCAGCCCTAAAGACAACGACGCACCTGATTCGGTGTCCAGTCCTAAAGACAACGACGGAAAGCAAGAGATACTGGGAAGCAAGAAGACAGCTACAGGAAAGCCAAAGATACTGGGAAGCAAGAAGACTGCTAATGTCTGCTATTAATTAACTGCTATATATGTACCCCCCACCCATGGGCTGTGTTAATAACCGCTATAAATGTACCCCCCCCCCCTCTTGGGGAAGCTGAAGTCAAAGATTAAGGCTATAAATGTACCCCCCCCCCCACCCTTGGGGGAAGATGAAGTCAAAGTTTTTCCGCTATTGATTAACTGCTATAAATGTACCCACCCTTCCTTGGGGGAAGCTGAAGTCAAAGTTAAATTGCGAATGATACCCCTCCAATGTACCCCCCACCCTTGGGGAAGCTGAAGTCAAAATTCGGAAAACCAGAGATACTGGGAAGCAAGAAGACAGCTAATGAATTGCTGTTAATAACTGCTATAAATGTACCCCCCCCCACCCTTGGGGAAGCTGAAGTCAAAGTTTAAGGGGTAATGATAAATATCATAAAGCCTGCCATTTGAAATAATAATAATAATAATGCTTAGACCTAAGGACGTAGCAGAATCTATCTTAGTACTCTCAAAAAATTGTTATGGTGGCATATCTGCCACTATTTATCTTCAGCAGCAATGAGGTAGTTCTGAAACCATCACCAAATGGTAATAAATTATCAAAAGAGCTTTGTTTCGAACAATCTGTTTCGAATTAAATCGTAAATTAAAGAGAGCCAATTGTGTACAAAATTAATAACAGCCACGTTTGTGAACTGGAACTGGCGAAATTGAGTTTGAATTCCAGAGTATGACAAATAAATCATTGAATATTGTGCAGTTAACTGAACCTCCTTTTACTCAAATTCATCCACTTAGTTGCGTCTTGGGCAGTCTCACTTTTTATCTGCATTTAATTAATTATTAATTCATTCTAAATCTCTGAAGGTTTCTTTAAAACAAATAGGTTGAAAAAGGAAATCTGACGCCAACAACCCCCCCCCCCTACCCCACCGGATGCAAGGTATGTAGTGAGTTATATAAATGAATATGTATTTAGCAGCTATTTTGTTGATGGGCAGAGGCAGGGAGAGGAGTACGCAAACAAATTGAGATCACGCATATTGAAGGTCACGATCTAAAAACTGAAAGCGAAAACCCCTTTCAGAAATAGCTTTCACTACAATAACGTCTTTAAGGTACATTGTTATACATTAGTATATTATGCCTACAATACGTCAAAAAATGATTTAACCAAGGAGAAGTTACAAAAAAATGGTCTTCAAAATAGGTTTTTTTTATATTTCATCTAATTATGGGATATGATTAATTTTATGTATGATGATTAATATGTGTCAAGGTTAAAAGAGGCCAGCTTAAAAATTATGTTAATTCAAGGCATTACATCAGTCTAACTGTGCTATAGTTGTCTTTGCGCACGTTTGTCATAGCAAAGATAATGAATTGGATTTTCACTGACCCACGTTAAGTGAGCGAGATGGCCAAGAGAAATGTGGGCTCAATAAATAGCAGCAGTATCCGAAGAAGTTTCTTTTAAAAGGCACAAATGAAGTCGAAGTGGCAAAAGATCACAATAATTTTGCATTAGTGCATTTCACTATAAATAAAATGGTATAAGTGAAAGACAAAATGTTTCATTGAGATTTGAAATAAAAGAAAGTTTACAAAATTATTAACAGCATTCCTTTCCTTGAAATAAATTTAGATATGTGCCATAGAGGATTACAATGAATATCGATGACCTGAATGATCAGGAGTTAAGCTAATGAATGTCATCTGAACTGAAATGATAAAAGTACGAGTAGAAAATGGAAATCAAAATTTTCAAATAATTTGGGAACAAGCTTTTATTAAGCAATCAATATAAGGATTGATTTTTAAAAGCCTCATACTTGCGAAATATCACAAAAATATACTTCAAAACTTGGACTATTTGAAAGCATAGCGACTCCTGTCGTTTAAATTTCCTAGATTTAAAATAAGCAATCGTTTACTGATTAAATAAAAATATTGAAAAATTCATAAGAAATCAAAATTGTAATGATTAAAATTTTGACATTTAATTTTGAATAAATGTCATATTAAAGTATTGGAGCAAAATATTTAACTTTATTTCTCTTGCATGCCTTTAACCTTGAACCTCAACAGGCGGCTCGTTTCTCTGAATAGGCCTTAATAGGTTGTTGGGGCGTGCTAGTAGTTTTCCCATTTCAAGGTATACTTTTTGGTAACGACTTTCCAGTTAGAATTTGAAATTTTCGCTTTTAATTTTACATATTAAGTTTGGATGTCATTAGGATGATCTTGCCTTATTTTATGCTTTATTAAATTATTATCACGATAGTTATCGTCTACTTTTCTGCATTTCTTACCATTTTTTCTCCCACATACGTTATTTTAGTGAATTTATATTTAAATTTTGTATATTTGAAGGAGAATTTAGTACTTCTTTAATTCTATTTTTGAACACCTTGTACGTTTCTAAAGTGAAATGCTATGTTATAGGCACCATGAACTCCATTATGAATGGTTGGTTTTCTGAGGTTTCCGACAGCTTCCCGGGGCAAGCCTTTAGCTTAAAAGTCAGGGAAGTTCTTTTCGAAGGTCAATCGAAATTTCAAAATATCCTTATTTTTGAAAGGTATGTTTCCCGGTTTCTATTTTCTTCTACTTAAAATAGTTTAGTAGCGGTTATAATCTTAAATTTTACCCTTTAGCGAAAATTATGGTCGCGTACTTGTCCTTGATGATCACATTCAGCTAACTGAGCGTGATGAATCGTTCTATCAGGAGATGATCTCCTACATTCCAATCAACGTTCACCCGAATCCTCGACGAGTTCTGATTATTGGGGGTGGTGACGGAGGTGTTGCAAGAGAAGTAGTTAGACACTCCTCGGTTGAACACGTCGATCTTGTTGACATTGATGGAATGGTAATTGAGACTGCTCGAAAGTACCTCCCCTTCATGGCTACTGGTCTCAATGACCCCAAGGTCACGGTTCACGTTGATGATGGATTTGCCTATTTGAAGAAGCGCGCTGCCATGACAGAAAAATATGATGTCATCATTACTGATTCAACCGATCCTGGCGGTATGTCGGTCATTTTAGAATTCGCTTCCTTAACATTTGGGTGCTCCCTCAAACTTTATGCCATGTTTAGTGTTATCATTTTAATACTTGGGCTCTACTATTTCCCTTTACAAAGCACTTATTTGACCAATCTCAAGAAATCTCCAGACTAACTAAGCTATCACTTACTCCTGTCGGCTAATTAACACTGCCCCATTGGTTTTATTTCTGAATTGGCAGCACAACCAAACCTCCCATTTTGCCAACTTATCCTCTCTGTCTCGCTAACTGCTTTGCACTTTTCTGTCTTCAATCAAAGTCCCTTGAGATTTTCACAGAAACTAGTCTTGTTACTAGTGGTGTACTTTACCAAGATAGTTCAGTCATAAAATTATAGATTTGATTGGCTTTTATCAAATCTCTAATTTTCTCTGGTCAAAAAATTTCTAGCTTAAAAGCAAGGACTTCTGCGTTGAATCTTTTTCCTCGAAGGGATTCTTTGAGCTGGACGCCTCTATGATATCGCTGTGAGAGCAGATTTACGTGATTGTGGGAAATATATCCCAAAAATCATGTGGGTCACCCATGCTATCCTTTTTCTTTGATGGTTGACTATGTCTAATTATGGTCATATTTTTTTACGCAGTTATATTATGAGCAAAATCTGATAATTCATTTTTGGCAGGCTAGCTTGTTTCAGCGCCTAGATACCTCATAATCGTTTTAAATGTTCAATAAATTTATGCGATCAACTCCCGGGGTAGATGGTCACATTTATTGGCGCATTGAACAGGCGAAACGGCTGCCATCTTATTATCCTCCGACGTTGGATTGCTCGTTGATAGGCCTCAGCTGTCAACCCCCCCCCCCCCCCCCCCGTATCTTTTTTACCTTCCTTTCTATGACTCACTCCTCTGAAAACTTAGTTTTTTTTTCTATTCTTTCTTTTAAGCATTTGCTCGGAGTATGAAGGCCGGCAGATTGGTACACGTTCTTTTTGAAAGAATGGTGAAAACGATTCTGACATTTACTGAATGACAGCATTTCTACTTGGGGGTGGGGGGGGGGGGGAGGGTAATAATTTGGAAGCGTCCAATTAGGGTGTTTTCGCAAGTGGGTGATTCACTTTCGAATTCTACCTTGAGCACACCTTCACGAAGGTTTTGGTATTTTACTCCAAATCACCTAACTTCTAAATTCTACTAAAAAAAAGGCATTTATAACAGTTGATCTGAATAGAGAGGAGGCGCCCAATGTCACCTTCAAATTTTATGAACCATTTTATTGACCAGGGTTGCACATTGCCTCAACATCACCGGATGTGAACCGATATACTTTGATCTTGTGACCTTTAATTTGACAGAGGTCATATTAATTTAGAGATCGAAGTGTTATTGTACTTAATTATATGTTGTTACTGGGGTGTGCGATAGCCTTACCTCCACGTGGTGTACCCTGGGCAACGTATACTCATACGCCAAAAGAACTCTTAACCGGCAGTTGACTTCTGACTTCAAACTACCATCACCCCACTGTATGCCATCTCCAACCCATTCCATAGTACTCATCTTACCTCTTTTCGGCCTTTGTTTCTGTCTCTTTTACATCTTTGAAACACTCTTCTGTTCCCTTCACCCCCCCCCCATTCTTGACTTTTTGTCACTTTGATGTTCCTTCTCCTCTGTGAAGTTTGAAGTCAACTAATGGGCTAATGATAACCATCAAAACGCCTGCCATTTGATATACCTAATGATAACCATCAAAACGCCTGCCATTTGATATAAACTATATGTTGTTACTAAAGCCATTGATTTATAATGGATTTAATTAGATATTTAGTTTTACGTTTGCCTATTCATTTATCCTTGATAATTGCTTGTTGACTAAGCAAAACTTCTCTCTTCCCTCTTCCAATAGGTCCATCAACACCCCTCTTCAATCAGGAATACTTTCAATTGCTTAGCCAAGCTCTGAATGATGACGGAATCATTTGTAATCAAGGTAAGCGTTCTACTTTTTCTGCTCTTCTTAGTGTTTCGGCGTTAAATTCTCCTTGTTTTTGGCTCGAAATAAGTGGTCTAGCTGTTGAAAGTCTTGTAGTATGTGGCGTATCTCTTATAGTAGCTCTTCGTTAATCTTTTCCAAACGGTGAATCTCTACCACGAGAGATTAGGAGTGGGGGGGGGGGGGGGGGGGGGGGGTGAGGGTGGGGGTCTGGGTGAAGAGAAGAGGTTGAAGGTCTGAATAAAGTCATTATGTTGGAAACATATTTCTTGATATACTTTTCAAGGTCATATTTGTCCTTACTGAATGTATATTTGCTCATTTGGATGTTTTAAAGCCTGTTTTAATTCTATTTCCTGTAATTAACAGGATAACTTGAGAATGAATGACTGAATATCGTCTTACCGTACTAGGTCACTAATGGACGGTGCTGTTTCATTTAAATTAGCCTAATTTGTCTGGTGAGTGGCGTGTGATTTATCGAGTTATAGGCAGCAGATCTGTCTATTAGCAAGTAACCTGAATGGACATCTAACAGCAGGTTAAATGTTTGTGAAACGCAGTGAATCATCGCAATTAAAACCATCCCAAACGGAAGTTCCTTCAGGTCGAAAATTGTTCTCTTCCTTACCCTCTCAAATTATCCCGGTCAATTGCTTTCCTCGAGGCATTAACGATACACGCTCTTTACGGGATAAAAGTGCCATTCGCTCATTTGGTTTTGTGAGACCAACCTCTCCTAGAAAAATAAATATGATTTAGCGAAGGGATTATATTAGGGGGGGGGGGGGTGCGATAGACTTACCTCCACGTGGTGCACCCTGGGCAACGTATACTCATACGGCAAAAAAGTCTTTTAACCGACAGTTGACTTCTGACTTCAAAATACCATCACCCCACTGTATGTCAAATTCGACCACTTTAACAGTACTCATCTCACCTTTTTTACTACTTTTGTGTCTGTCTGTCTCTTTTGCATCTGTAAATCACTCTTCTGTTTCCCACCCCTCGACTTCCTGTAACTTTGCCTGTTCCTCCCCTCTGTGAAGCCCGAAGTCAGCTAAAGGGCTAATGATAACTATCAAAACGCCTGCCATTGGAAATAATAATAAATATTAGTGGGGGGGGGGGAAGGGGGGCTGGTGGGAGGATGGTGGGGAATTGGGGGGGTAAACTAATAACCTCAAAAGTATGGTATAGGGTGCTTATTAAGTGTTGGGTTTCTTAAGGCCACCTTGATATATGCACTAAGAAAGTTAAATAACTGAAGTAAATGCAATGTTAACAAAATATCTCTTGTTTTGATTTGATCCCAGATCAATATGTTTGTTTTAAGCTGAGAAATAAAGGTGGACACAATATTTTGTTTCCGTGATCCCTCGTTCACCTATTCACCCCCCCCCCCCCCCCCCCACCCACTTGATCGTATTTGTTGGCCGTATGTGTGCAGCTAAAACACGGAGGTTCTGAATCAGCCTATATGTTCCCCGTCGCTTTATTAGATTTTGTCGCCTCAACACGTCTGAACGTGTATTATGTGATCTGGACTGCATTTCTTAATTGCTCATACATTTTCAACTCGGCTCCTTGTTGGACTTCCTTTCTCTTCACGAGGACCAATCATCAAATATATTCACAACGACACGCAGATATGGCAGACACTTTCTTAAGGACAAATTCGCTCAATATTTTGCACATTGAGACTAGAGTACTGTTAGTTGAGGTATATCAGAATGGAAACAAATTTGAATTATACATTTTAGGCGCGCTCAAAACATCATTAGGACATGTGGATTAAACATTAAGTCAGTTTGCTCAAGCCTAGACTTCTTCCCCATGGTTACTCTAGGAGAATCTCGAAATAAATGGCGGGCGTTTTGACAGTCATCATTAGCCCTTTAATTGACTTCGGGCTTCACGGAGGGGAGAAACATCAAAATGAGAAGAATTTGGGAGGGAGAACAGAAGAGTGATTCACAGATGTAAAAGAGACAGGCAGACACCAAGGCTCAGAAAGGGTAAGATGAGTACTGTGGAAAGGGGGCGAATATGACAAGCAGTCGGGGCATGGTAGTTTGAAGTGAGAAGTCAACTGCCAGTTAATAGACTTTTTTGCCGTATGATTATACGTTACCCAGGGTGCTCCACAGGGAGGTAAGTCTATCCCACACCCCAAAGTCTCTAATATCAAGTCGGTTGAATTTCCTTGAATAAGGACGAACGGGGATTGCCATCCGACAAATCGCGTTATATTTTTGGTTGAAAAGGGCGGTCACATACTTTTCGTTTGCCATCATCAACAACAACAATAACGATTTCACTTGCCCTATATTTGTGTGCTTTACGGCTTTTTTTGTGTGTGTTACCAGCATGGCTGAAAAACGCTCCAGCCTTAACGTCAGGATAGTAGACTTTTTTGACAAGACATTCGTGGTGTAGGCGTTTTAATTCGCCTCCATTCTCAGCCGAATTGTATTTAAAAGCAAAAATCCTGGACACTGGTTTTCCTGAATAGTAAGTAAACAACTCTGCTTGTTATGATCGATAATGTATGTTTGTTTTAATTGAAAGGTTAGTCAAAAATGCTAGCATATCCGATTTCCTACTTGTCTCTGGAAGGTAGATTCTTTCGCGGGGGGGGGGGGGGGGGGGGTTTTTNGGGGGGGGTGGGTTCTTTGCATCATAAGAGACCTGAAAGGATGAAACACTCGTTTGTTAGCTGGGACGAAGTGTTTGGAATGTAAAAGTTCATTTTAGATATCAAGAAAGTGATAATAATCTCTATTCTTCTTCTTCTTCTTCTAGGTGAGACCCTTTTCTTGGACATTCCAGTAATCAAGCAAATGATTGGATTCTGCAAGGCAGTCTTTCCATCTGTTGGCTACGCCTACAATATCATTCCAACCTACACATCTGGCCATTTGGGCTACGTCATCGCCTCTAAAACGAAGGTAATTTAACTTTCTATGTTAATGTAAGATTGCTTCAAGGTGGGTGGGTTACCTTATGTTGCTAAAAGCCTTAACATCATTATGAAGGTCAATAGAGAGTTAGTGGTCGTGGGGCCAGTTCTGAGATCGAAAGTAAACGTTCGATTAAAAGTTGTAATATTAAGCAGACTTCTTTTACTTTACGGTTTGGCTATCTCAAGGTGGAGGGGTGTGCGATAGACTTACCTCCACGTGGTGCACTCCGGGCAACGTATTCTCCTACGGCAAAAAAGTCTATTAACCGGCAGTTGACTTCTCACTTTAAACTACCATCACCTCATTCTATGCCATATTCGAATACTTCACAGTACTCATCTCACCTTTTTTCTACCTTTGTGTTTGTCTCTTTTACATCTTTGAAACACTCTTCTGTTCCCCCCCCCCTCTCGATTTTTTTCCCACTTTGATGTTCCTTCCCCTCTGTGAAGCCTGAAGTCAACTAAAGGGCTAATGATGACTATCAAAATGCCTGCCATTTGATATAAATAAATAAATAAATTTCAAGGTGGATGATAGAAAAATAGCAATTTTTCCATTATGAACCTCCATAGTTGATGTTGGGCGTCAAATTAATATCAAATTGCTGTCAGTGAATTATCCTCTGCCTAACCTTGTCACACAATTGCTCAAAGTTGGGTTTTAATCTCTGAGTAAGTCTGCACAAAAGGCTCGATGCAATCGCTAAGCATTTATTGAATTTCCAATTTGCCGAAACTCAGGCAACTCAGGGTTGATGCGAAGAAAGTCTTCATGGAAAAGGAAGCTGCGTTTCGCATACACCGAGGCTTACAAAGTCATCTTTCTCCTGCTTATTAAAACAGGGAATGAACCGAGGTGAGAACCGAGATAATTCGCCTTCATTGACACTTTGCAAACTAATAATACACCCAACCGCACTCACGCGTGTTCCACAGCAGCCTGATGCCACCCCGACGTGATGAGTTTGGGTGGTGTATCATGCGAAGACGATAGACACGCATATTGAACATGGTTCAATTGGCAATAGCGCCTTCTGTTACGAGGTCAGTACCAATGGAGGTTATTTTGAAAGAGGAGGTCCTACGGGATGGTGAAAGCAAATTCGAGTACAGACAACAACATGACGATTTCAAGATCCCATTACAGCAAGGCTTTGTTTTGCAGTCCTACTCAAAATGTTCTGACATTGTTTCTATCTTCCCTCCTATTTAGCATCTCTCCATGATCAAGCATTGTAAACTTGATTTGTAATCTAAAGGTTTTATATGCTAATGGATCGTAGCGGTTAAGTCGCACAACCAGTGATATGAATGTCCAACTTTACTCTTTAACATCCGTCACACAAGAGGTTGGAAATTGAAGCACCCAAATCCAATTTTGGAGAAGCTTTCATAGCTTCTCTAGATTGAGAGCGTACTCTACCATAGTATCTTTGGTGACGTCTTAATTAGTCAGACATAATCGGCTCACGGTGTCATTCCACTTACCGGTTGTTCACTGATCGACACCGAATTCGTGACTTCCAACTTCGTAGACGTATCATCGGATTTGTTAAGTACGCTGACTACTACACCTAGAAGGTATCGCGTGGTCGTCAAGGTTTCAATTTTATTTAGAAAGTGGCCATCGAATCTGCAAAATTATTCTCACGGACACACTTTTGTTATGTTATCACCATCTGGGGGTGTACAATTGACTTACCTTCACGTGGTGCACTCAAATGGCAAAAATGTCTATAAACCGGCAGTTGACTTCTGACCTCAAACTACCATGGCCCAACTGTATGTCACATTCGACCCCTACCACAGTACTCATCTTACCTTTTTCTACCTTTATGTCAGTCTGTCTCTTTTGCGTCTGTGAATCACTCTTCCGTTCTCCCACTCGACATTTTCCCATTTTGATGTTCCTCCTCCTCCTCTCTCTGAAGCCCGAAGTCAGCCAAAGGACTAATGATACCTATCAAAACGCCCGCCATTTGAGATAAATAAATAACTGTTATCACCATCCCAACATGATTATTTTGACTAAGTATGAAGAAGCTCTAAAATTACCACAGCAGAAAAGTTCATTTAAATCACTGTGGCGTGGGGTGGGGTGGGGGGGGGATTTAATATTTTTTAGTGAAGTACGCTTACAATGTATCGCTTCTTCAGTTAAATTATTGCAATCACCAAAAAGAGGCTTCGTTTTTTCTTTATAGAACGCCAACTTGCGTGATGCTATTCGAGATCCACCAACGAAGTGCAAATTCTACACAAAGGAAGTTCACAAGGCCGCTTTCTGTCTCCCCAAGTGTTATGATGATGTGAGTTCTATTCTTTTGTTTTAATCATTTGGTGGCCGTGAAACCTAAAAGATTTTCTTTTTCAACTTTGTCCCATGTGGAAAACGTGCACACACACACGCACTTTGGAGTGGAATTTCAATTTTACGTATAAGCCTTTCCGTTATGGTAGGTTTCAATTGTTGCGAGGATTGAAATTCATTTTTGGCATCAATCATCCAAAATGTTGACTTTTTCTTTCTGCATTCGGTGCCGGATTTTGAGTTGGTGTTTCATTGCTATTCTAACCAGTTTCCCTTTTTTATAATTTTCTTCAAAGACACCTCTACCTCCTGTGATGTCTCTTGGAAACTGTGTCGTGTGTTCATTAATCCTGATTTGCCGTTTGCTCCCTATTCGCCCAGATCTTTTCATTTAAGCACAGTGAACACCCTAACTCACATTTCTCTTGAATTTTACGTTCTCTTGAATAGCCTTTACAATGCTGTCACTTTGTCCTGAAATTTGCACCCATTTGACATAGTTATTTAGAGAGACTGGGAAAGGCCAATTTTAGATGCCAATGCCGCTAGCATCTGTTTAATTTCATACGCCGTTCATTAGCTTTCAACGATGTCAAATGTCCCATCTCTAGATATCTGAAATTACTCACAATTGTAGTTTGATTTTAGCCGTCCCAGTGGTAGTGTGGGGCACCTTATCCCATTATCGCGCGTCGTTACTAATTCGTGCGGCCGTATAACTTTCCGCGCAAACGACAATAATACGAGTGACCAATCAGAAGCCGCCAAGTGTTTATAACTAAGCAGCCAAGCTGAATAAAACTAAACTGTTTGTAAACGTACAATTCTTGTCACTACGTTTGTAAATAGACGTGCTCTCGATACTACGTTTGTTTTCCTTCTACCACTTGTGGTAACAACCCGGGACATCAACATAACGAGAGATTTCTGAGTAGTCAGGCTTTATAAAAGTAGCAATCCGCTACAGTAGAGAATACGTGTCCTCACGAAATAGTTTACTAACACTCATATAGGACATGATTTTGGCTTCAAAGAGCCCCCCCCCCCCCCCCTAGTGGCAAGCTCGAATTCTGTTTGCCCTTCTTGGTGTGTGTGCACCAATAGGGATAGAACACGGGAATTCCTCCCCACCAAATGGGCATGTTATCCACTGCGTCACCGCATAAAGACTAGACTGTCTGGGAATAGAAGTCAGGACCGTCTATGTGAATCAAAATAATCGATAGCACATACAGGGTTGGGAGTGGGGTGGGGGAAGACGCGGAGGTACACGTGTGAGTTGTGGCATGGAGGCCAGATTGAATTAACTCGGTTAAATTCCACACCGATACACCGTAGTTTGGACATTGGGTATTCTAGTACTAGGTAAAAGTTGATCATTTTAAACCAAGATGTGGGTGTATGAAAACTGCAGTATCTAATACCTCCGACTGCTCTCTTTGGTTTCTTAAATATGAGCCTTATTCTTTTCATCAAACTCCTTAACTTTTTATTTCTATTTTCATCTAACCTTCCTCTGTAATTCAAATGTAATTTTATACAAAGTTGAGGTATTGGACTCAGTAGAGCGAATTGTGAAAGTTTAATTGAAATAATAATGTTATGGCTGGGTGGGGTGGGGGGGGGGGGGGGGGGGTTGAAATATAAGTTGAATCCAGGNCACCCCCCCCCCCCCCCCCCCGCCATCCCGAGTTTTAAATGAGGTCATATTCTCGATCCCAAGTTGAGTCACTTGGAGTGGTTGGACGCACAAGTTCAATTTGTGTCTTCTTTGCTCTTGACGGCCAAATCACCAGCCACCGCGACTTTAACAGCTCAGTAGTTATGAGTACACTTTAAGTTAAATTTTCCTATTTTTTCTACCGACTATAACAGGGTCGTGTAAAAGATTGATTTGCTTTTTTTCAATATGGCTTCAATTCACACCACGGAGAGTACCACATTACTCCCATTTTCAGTCCAAATTTCGAAATTAAACGAGATTTTGTTAATTCAGATATAATCTAGAGATGCAGCATATCGAATCTAGCTTAATTGTGTGTTGTATCTCCATGTATTTTGGGTCTTCTTCGTCCTTTCACGCGTTATAGAGCCTCTAGAAGTGCACTTCGGAATTGTGGGCGACTTTTTGTCGCAACCGCCACATTTCCGTGTTCGAAATTCGAAGGTGACATGAAAGTCACTTCTGTAAGGCACTTTGTATGAATTGATGAGTCACTTGTCTGGGTTACGGATAGGAATTTGACATGACTGCTTATAACATCCGTTGCTAGGCCATAGTAGGATAATTAGATGAATGCTCTCGAATTCAGTAGCGCTTGGTGTCCTTTCCAGGCACTTCCTGTTTGGTGAGCGGAAGTAGGAGTTTAGCTATCGGCACTTAACGATCGTACATTTTAACAGCTCTTTATTTACTAACTTTTTACTTATATCAAATGGCAGCCTTTATGATAGATATCGTTTTTCCTTTCGTTGTATTCAGGCTTCTCAGTGGGGGGGGGGGTTCATTAAAGTCACAAAAAGAGGATCAGAAGAGTGATTCAAAGATGTAAAGGAGACAAAGACAAATGTAGAGAAAAGGTGAGGTGAGATGAGTACTGTGAAAGGGGTCGAATATGAAATACCGTCGGGTTATGGTAGTTTGAAGTGAGAAGTCAACTGGCGGTTTATAGA